ACCTGACAGAGAACCTACAGAGAACCTGACAGAGAACCTACAGAGAACCTGACAGAGAACCTACAGAGAACCTGACAGAGAACCTACAGAGAACCTGACAGAGAACCTACAGAGAACCTACAGAGAACCTGACAGAGAACCTACAGAGAACCTGACAGAGAACCTGACAGAGGACCTGACAGAGAACCTGACAGAGAACCTGACAGAGAACCTGACAGGGAACCTGACAGAGAGAACCTACAGAGAACCTGACAGAGAACCTGACAGAGAACCTACAGAGAACCTGACAGAGAACCTGACAGAGAACCTGACAGAGAACCTGACAGAGAACCTACAGAGAACCTGACAGAGAACCTGACAGAGAACCTGACAGAGAACCTGACAGAGGACCTGACAGAGAACCTGACAGAGAACCTGACAGAGAACCTACAGAGAACCTGACAGAGAACCTGACAGAGAACCTGACAGAGAACCTGACAGAGAACCTACAGAGAACCTGACAGAGAACCTGACAGAGAACCTACAGAGAACCTACAGAGAACATACAGAGAACCTGACAGAGAACCTGACAGAGAACCTGACAGAGAACCTGACAGAGAACCTACAGAGAACCTAACAGAGAACCCACAGAGAACCAGAGAACCTACAGAGAACCTACAGAGAACCTGACAGAGAACCTGACAGAGAACCTGACAGAGAACCTGACAGAGGACCTGACAGAGAACCTGACAGAGAACCTGACAGAGAACCTGACAGAGGACCTGACAGAGAACCTGACAGAGAACCTGACAGAGAACTTGACAGAGAACCTACAGAGAACCTGACAGAGAACCTGACAGAGAACCTGACAGAGAACCTGACAGAGAACCTGACAGAGAACCTGACAGAGGACCTGACAGAGAACCTGACAGAGAACCTGACAAAGGAACCTGACAGAGAACCTACAGAGAACCTGACAGAGAACCTGACAGAGAGCCTGACAGAGAACCTGACAGAGAACCTACAGAGAACCTGACAGAGAACCTGACAGAGAACCTACAGAGAACCTACAGAGAACCTACAGAGAACCTGACAGAGAACCTGACAGAGAACCTGACAGAGAACCTGACAGAGAACCTACAGAGAACCTGACAGAGAACCTACAGAGAACCTACAGAGAACCTACAGAGAACCTGACAGAGAACCTGACAGAGAACCTGACAGAGAACCTGACAGAGAACCTGACAGAGAACCTACAGAGAACCTGACAGAGAACCTGACAGAGAACCTACAGAGAACCTAAAGAGAACCTACAGAGAACCTGACAGAGAACCTGACAGAGAACCTGACAGAGAACCTGACAGAGAACCTACAGAGAACCTAACAGAGAACCTACAGAGAACCTGACAGAGAACCTACAGAGAACCTGACAGAGAAACTGACAGAGAACCTGACAGAGAACCTACAGAGAACCTAACAGAGAAACTGACAGAGAACCTGACAGAGAACCTGACAGAGAACCTGACAGAGAACCTACAGAGAACCTACAGAGAACCTACAGAGAACCTGACAGAGAACCTACAGAGAACCTGACAGAGAACCTACAGAAAACCTGACAGAGAACCTACAGAGAACCTGACAGAGAACCTACAGAGAACCTGACAGAGAACCTACAGAGAACCTACAGAGAACCTGACAGAGAACCTGACAGAGAACCTACAGAGAACCTGACAGAGAACCTGACAGAGGACCTGACAGAGAACCTGACAGAGAACCTGACAGAGAACCTGACAGGGAACCTGACAGAGAACCTACAGAGAACCTGACAGAGAACCTGACAGAGAACCTACAGAGAACCTGACAGAGAACCTGACAGAGAACCTGACAGAGAACCTGACAGAGAACCTACAGAGAACCTGACAGAGAACCTGACAGAGAACCTGACAGAGGACCTGACAGAGAACCTGACAGAGAACCTGACAGAGAACCTACAGAGAACCTGACAGAGAACCTGACAGAGAACCTGACAGAGAACCTGACAGAGAACCTACAGAGAACCTGACAGAGAACCTGACAGAGAACCTACAGAGAACCTACAGAGAACCTACAGAGAACCTGACAGAGAACCTGACAGAGAACCTGACAGAGAACCTGACAGAGAACCTACAGAGAACCTAACAGAGAACCCACAGAGAACCTACAGAGAACCTACAGAGAACCTGACAGAGAACCTGACAGAGAACCTGACAGAGAACCTGACAGAGGACCTGACAGAGAACCTGACAGAGAACCTGACAGAGAACCTGACAGAGGACCTGACAGAGAACCTGACAGAGAACCTGACAGAGAACCTGACAGAGAACCTACAGAGAACCTGACAGAGAACCTGACAGAGAACCTGACAGAGGACCTGACAGAGAACCTGACAGAGAACCTGACAGAGGACCTGACAGAGAACCTGACAGAGAACCTGACAGAGAACCTGACAGAGAACCTGACAGAGAACCTACAGAGAACCTGACAGAGAACCTGACAGAGAGCCTGACGGAGAACCTGACAGAGAACCTACAGAGAACCTGACAGAGAACCTGACAGAGAACCTACAGAGAACCTACAGAGAACCTACAGAGAACCTGACAGAGAACCTGACAGAGAACCTGACAGAGAACCTGACAGAGAACCTACAGAGAACCTGACAGAGAACCTACAGAGAACCTACAGAGAACCTACAGAGAACCTGACAGAGAACCTGACAGAGAACCTGACAGAGAACCTGACAGAGGACCTGACAGAGAACCTACAGAGAACTTGACAGAGAACCTGACAGAGAAACTGACAGAGGACCTGACAGAGAACCTGACAGAGAAACTGACAGAGAACCTGACAGAGAACCTGACAGAGAACCTACAGAGAACCTACAGAGAACCTACAGAGAACCTGACAGAGAACCTACAGAGAACCTGACAGAGAACCTACAGAGAACCTGACAGAGAACCTACAGAGAACCTGACGGAGAACCTACAGAGAACCTGACAGAGAACCTACAGAGAACCTACAGAGAACCTGACAGAGAACCTGACAGAGAACCTACAGAGAACCTACAGAGAACCTGACAGAGAACCTGACAGAGAACCTGACAGAGAACCTACAGATAACCTGACAGAGAACCTGACAGAGAACCTGACAGAGAACCTGACAGAGAACCTACAGAGAACCTGACAGAGAACCTGACAGAGAACCTGACAGAGAACCTGACAGAGAACCTGACAGAGAACCTGACAGAGAACCTGACAGGGAACCTGACAGAGAACCTACAGAGAACCTGACAGAGAACCTGACAGAGAACCTACAGAGAACCTGACAGAGAACCTGACAGAGAACCTGACAGAGAACCTGACAGAGAACCTACAGAGAACCTGACAGAGAACCTGACAGAGAACCTGACAGAGAACCTGACAGAGGACCTGACAGAGAACCTGACAGAGAACCTGACAGAGAACCTACAGAGAACCTGACAGAGAACCTGACAGAGAACCTGACAGAGAACCTACAAAGAACCTGACAGAGAACCTGACAGAGAACCTACAGAGAACCTACAGAGAACCTTCAGAGAACCTGACAGAGAACCTGACAGAGAACCTGACAGAGAACCTGACAGAGAACCTACAGAGAACCTAACAGAGAACCTACAGAGAACCTACAGAGAACCTACAGAGAACCTGACAGAGAACCTGACAGAGAACCTGACAGAGAACCTGACAGAGGACCTGACAGAGAACCTGACAGAGAACCTGACAGAGAACCTGACAGAGGACCTGACAGAGAACCTGACAGAGAACCTGACAGAGAACCTGACAGGGAACCTACAGAGAACCTGACAGAGAACCTGACAGAGAACCTGACAGAGGACCTGACAGAGAACCTGACAGAGAACCTGACAGAGGACCTGACAGAGAACCTGACAGAGAACCTGACAGAGAACCTGACAGAGAACCTACAGAGAACCTGACAGAGAACCTGACAGAGAGCCTGACAGAGAACCTGACAGAGAACCTACAGAGAACCTGACAGAGAACCTGACAGAGAACCTACAGAGAACCTACAGAGAACCTACAGAGAACCTGACAGAGAACCTGACAGAGAACCTGACAGAGAACCTGACAGAGAACCTGACAGAGAACCTACAGAGAACCTGACAGAGAACCTACAGAGAACCTACAGAGAACCTACAGAGAACCCGACAGAGAACCTGACAGAGAACCTGACAGAGAACCTGACAGAGGACCTGACAGAGAACCTACAGAGAACTTGACAGAGAACCTGACAGAGAACTTGACAGAGAACCTGACAGAGAACCTACAGAGAACCTGACAGAGAACCTGACAGAGAACCTACAGAGAACCTACAGAGAACCTACAGAGAACCTGACAGAGAACCTGACAGAGAACCTGACAGAGAACCTACAGAGAACCTAACAGAGAACCTACAGAGAACCTGACAGAGAACCTGACAGAGAACCTGACAGAGAACCTGACAGAGGACCTGACAGAGAACCTGACAGAGAACCTGACAGAGAACCTGACAGAGGACCTGACAGAGAACCTGACAGAGAACCTGACAGAGAACCTGACAGAGAACCTACAGAGAACCTGACAGAGAACCTGACAGAGAACCTGACAGAGGACCTGACAGAGAACCTGACAGAGAACCTGACAGAGGACCTGACAGAGAACCTGACAGAGAACCTGACAGAGAACCTGACAGAGAACCTACAGAGAACCTGACAGAGAACCTGACAGAGAGCCTGACAGAGGACCTGACAGAGAACCTACAGAGAACCTACACAGAACCTACAGAGAACCCGACAGAGAACCTGACAGAGAACCTGACAGAGAACCTGACAGAGGACCTGACAGAGAACCTACAGAGAACTTGACAGAGAACCTGACAGAGAACTTGACAGAGAACCTGACAGAGAACCTACAGAGAACCTGACAGAGAACCTGACAGAGAACCTACAGAGAACCTACAGAGAACCTACAGAGAACCTGACAGAGAACCTGACAGAGAACCTGACAGAGAACCTGACAGAGAACCTAACAGAGAACCTAACAGAGAACCTACAGAGAACCTACAGAGAACCTACAGAGAACCTGACAGAGAACCTGACAGAGAACCTGACAGAGAACCTGACAGAGGACCTGACAGAGAACCTGACAGAGAACCTGACAGAGAACCTGACAGAGGACCTGACAGAGAACCTGACAGAGAACCTGACAGAGAACCTGACAGAGAACCTACAGAGAACCTGACAGAGAACCTGACAGAGAACCTGACAGAGGACCTGACAGAGAACCTGACAGAGAACCTGACAGAGAACCTACAGAGAACCTGACAGAGAACCTACAGAGAACCTGACAGAGAACCTACAGAGAACCTGACAGAGAACCTGACAGAGAGCCTGACAGAGAACCTGACAGAGAACCTACAGAGAACCTGACAGAGAACCTGACAGAGAACCTACAGAGAACCTACAGAGAACCTACAGAGAACCTGACAGAGAACCTGACAGAGAACCTGACAGAGAACCTGACAGAGAACCTGACAGAGAACCTACAGAGAACCTGACAGAGAACCTACAGAGAACCTACAGAGAACCTACAGAGAACCCGACAGAGAACCTGACAGAGAACCTGACAGAGAACCTGACAGAGGACCTGACAGAGAACCTACAGAGAACTTGACAGAGAACCTGACAGAGAACCTACAGCTTTCATAAAGATCAGATTTTGTGGAGATTTTAGTCTCCCTTGTCATCCTGAACTTTTTTTCTTCTTAAATCCTTCGGTTTTGTTTAAATCCACACTTTACTGCCACAAACTCTGCTCCTCTGGCTCTCGCTCTAACTCCCGCTCTGATGAACTGCTCTGATTGGTCAGAGCCGAGCCCCTCTGTGCACGTGCGTGAGACCCGGTGTGAGACCCACACACGCGTGTTTGGCGCAACGCATTATGGGAGATCATCCACTGCACAGAACCGGGAGGACCAGACGATGCTCAAACACAGGCCAGTTCCGCTAATATGTCAGCGACCGTGCCGGCACAAAGCACCACTGAGCACAACCATTCATTTGAATACGACGCCATCTTGGATCGCCGGGGCTTGATGTAAACACACTGCTGCTAATGTACAGATGCTAACATGTACAGATGCTAACAAAAAACTTCACTTTACTTGCACTAGAATACAAAATACTTCATTCTTGGGTGTCATTAACCTGGCCAGTAGGGGGCGAATGAGCGGAGATGGGACAGTTTTGCTCCCATTGAAAACCATGTAAAGTCTGTTTTGGAGTCAAAGGCTCTCCTCCTGTGCGGCGTACGGTTGTTGGAACAGTCTTAATCGGGGACACTCACTTCTAAGGGAGTATTAACAAATATTTCTCAAAATAATCTTCATTTCGGGACTTTTTGGAAAAAAACAGAAGAAATTGCTGCGTTTCATTGGGGTGGCCTGCAGGGGGCGCTTGTCTGGGAAAGCCTTGATCCACCTCGCCTCATTCCAGGGATTTTTCCAAAGACACAGTTGGAACATGAACAAACTCTGTCTTTCTCTCTATTTGTGCGGTTGCAACGTACACCGCACAAAAAGATGGTGTTTTGACAGCGCTTCTTCTTCTACTATATCTCCGTGTATAAGCCCGGCAGACATCACCACCAGGATACGTCACATCCTGTCCTACTTTTGTTATAAGCGCCACTGCCCTGATGTCATATGAAACCCAAGAATACTTATTATTGTGTTAAAGATATAGATTTTATACTTGTCCTTTGATGCTAGAGTTAGAGATTTTGTTTTATTTTAATTAGTATAGAGCCATTGTTCACTTATCTGCTGTGTGCTCCTCTTTCCTACTGTTCTATAACATGTAATGCAACTCTGACATTTCCTCACTGTGGGACGAATAAACAATCTCTTAATATAATCTTAATCTTAATCCATTTAATTCCCATTTAACTAACAGAATGTAGGGCGCCTGACGTTCCCAGAGGTCTCACTTCTTATTCCATCTTCAACGCTTTGCCAGGGAGGAAAAATGACTCAGAATATGTTGAAAATTGATTTTGTGATTGAAAGACGCTCAGACTGATAATTGTCAATAGTTTCAATCCCTTCTCTTGTAAAACTTGTGCCATTAGCCCCAGCTGCAGGCTCGGGCGGGGATTGAAAAGGCTCTAATGGGTATTGGCGCAGCTGCGATGAAAGAGTCGGTCTGATCCACACACGTCTGTCTCCATCACGGCCTCGACTTACATCACCTTCTCTTTTTGTGTTACTGTTTATTACGAGTCAATCCAAACAGACAGAGACAAAGGCCGAGCCGTCAAACAGATCAAGAGCTAGTGCTGAGAAACAAGACATTTTGGCTCCTGACGTGGGTGTGGCAGAGAGAGGCCAGCTCCAAGAACAGGGCTGGGGGCTGAGGCAGGGCTGGAGGCTGAGGCAGGGCTGGAGGCTGAG